TGGAGGGGATGAAGGGAGGGCAAGGGAAGGGGAAAAAAAATAAGAACCAAGAGACTCATGTAATGGTACAAGATCCCAATGATGAATGTAACTAATTAATTTATACCTAAAATGTACCAATAAATTTAATGGGGGGGAACAACAACAGTGAAAAGAAACAATGCCAGCTGTACCAGACTCTATGACGCCAGCTTTTTAAAATCTAATACTTTACCAGAAGCCAAATATGCTCCAGTGGGCAAACTCACGTTCGTCTGTTGGGCATGCTGAGAATAAATGATGCTGTTTTTAAAACAGCAAATGAATTTAGAATCCATGGAAACAGACTGAGTTTCTTAACTTTCTCAAATATCTCTATTAAATCTGGATATCACACAAACAGAAATTATCTGATGCTTTGGTGCTACCCAAAGAAGTTATTTTCTTGAAAAGAAGTGGACAAAAAATTATCAAAGCTACCAGAAATAAAATATTCCCATCATAAACACCCTGCTTTATCAAGTCCTTTTTCAAGGAACTTTCATAGAGAAATAAATCCATACGAAAGTTCAAGGATTCCATCACAAATATACAAAAATTTTGCCTACAGTTTTGAAAAAAGTAAACTGAGTATTGGATTGTAGGACTTTGAGATCAGATCTGACAAAGCCATAAGAGCCACCTGGTCATACCAGATAAAACCTAAGTTGGACACTTGTTCATTTCTTCCATAAGATAACTGTCTTAGTTACTTTTCTTGTTGCTGAGACAAAATACTCAATATCTAAAGTTAAAGGAGGAAAGGTTTATTTAGCTCACAGCTTGTAGAGGTTTCAGTCCATAATGAGTTGGTTCCAGGACGAGGTGGCATGGCAGAGGGCCATCACAGAGGAGGAACAGTTCATGGCAGGCAGAAGACAGCAAAAGCTGCAAGCAGCAAGCAACAAGCAACAATAGCCCTCTTTCTGTCTTATATTTTATCCAGGCTACCCACCCTTAGGGCAGGTAGCACTCACACCCTTAATCCTAGCATCGCACCACAAATCAATCAAAAAGCCCTACCTATGACTACATGAGACTTTGGAGGGATATGTAGATACAAGGCATAATAATACCCCACTTTGTAAGAACCAACTGACTATTAGACAAATGGAGGAAGAGAGGTTCTTGGCTCAAAAGATATGGTTACCCTACAAGTCAAAAAGTCTTAAAGAACAAGATTAAAAGACTACTCATTTTTAATTATAAAGCTATCTTTCAAAGAAAAATTACTAGAATTAGAACAGATAGATTAATGGAAGAGAACAGAGCCTAGAAACCAACCCACACATACATAAGGATTTCATGAGATAGAAAACACTACAAAGTCAATGGGAAATGAATATACTGCTTAATAAATGGTGCTATAAAATTAGCTATCAATAAAGAATGAGAATTCTACTTTACAACAGTCACAAATATTAATTTCTAGTGAATTATGCACATTTTAAAATTTAACTTCTAGGACAAAATATGATAAAATTTATTTTTACATCTCAGAGGAATAACAAATTCTTAAAACCTGACATAAGTAAAGGCTCAACATAAAGAGAAAGGATGATCAATGTGATTAAACTTAACTGAAAAATTCTGTAACATAAACACAGTCACAGACCATCAAAGATAAGCCAGGTACTAGAGATCTCATGAAAAGGAAAGCATTATGATCTGTAAGAATACAAGTAGCCAAGCAGAAGAAAAACAGGCATAGATACTGACATCAAATTCATGAAATAATGAACAATAATTACCAATGAAGCTGTTTCTTGGTAATTGAGAAAATATAAATTAATACAAAGAGCTACTATTTCACTATCTCCAAGTGGAAAATTTACAAATTCTCATAAAATTAAGTATTGGTAGGAAAACCAGAATCATCTCACACTGCTGCTAGGATTGCAAACTTGCACACCACTGTGGAGAGCAATCTGACACCTAAACTCACAGAATATAAATATGCTGCTATCTGAGATTCCAATTTTTAAGGCATGCACCCAGAATACCACATTTGCATGAGGAAGAATGATAAAGAATGTACACTTGTAGCACTGTTCAAAGTGGCACAAAATAACAACTGAAATGACCATAGGGGTGGGAAGCTGGTAAATACATGGGTAAATATGTACGGTACTAAACCACAGTTAAGTGAAAAAGCAAAATTACACAAGATTACATACATAAGATATAATAGCTAAAAATTTTAATAGGAAGGCATCACACACACCAACTTCTGAATAACAGGTTAGCTCTAAGGGGGGAAGGAGAAGAATGGTGCCAGGGAGGAGTACAAAAGAGTAACATTTTATTTCTTTAAAAATCAGAAGCAAATAGGGCAAAATAGTATGTGAAGAGTAAAAGGGAATTTTTTTTGTATATTTGAAGTATTTTGTAATTAAATGAATTTTAATGGGCACATATGGCATAACAATCAAAAATAACATTATTAAAAAAATAACATTATTGACACAATAAAAATGTATCAAGTAACAACACAGTATTTAAGCCACAGAAACATACGTACATACATTAGTGCATGAGATAGGTAAGAAGCAAAAATAAATTTTTTAAATTGCAATTTACTTTGGATTTTAAATTCATAATTTTGTAATGAGCTTTAAATCTCATGCATTTTTAAATGTCATGCTAAAATTGTAAAGGCTATTATCCTTTTTGTTAGAGTTGTGAAAGCTATATAAATAAAGCTTTAATGTGGTATTGTGAATATCAGTCTCATATTAGAAAGCTTTTTCTTTAGCATATAAACAGTAACAAGCTTTACAATTATACTCACAAGTCTTAAAGAAATGTATTAAGAATCCTAAGTATGAAGAGTAGTTATTTAATTGTAACTATTTAATTACAGTGTTTCAAGAACCTATAACCTATTTTTACCCTGGGAAAACAATGCTATTTGGGATTTGGATCAGAACCCAAGACATACTGGAAAAAGAAGTAACTGGAAAGGTTATAAACAAAGTTTTATTATAAACCTCTTTTAAAGGAAAAGTATATAATTTTCAAAGGGGAGCAACACAATCCTTTGGGATCACTATGTCAGACACAGAAAATGTTTTAAAAAAGGAGTTAAGAAGAGGTAGTAGAATTTTGCTATATGTACTTCATTTACTGACTCTTTGGGCTTCAAGGCTAGAAGACAATAAATATTACCCAGAAAAATTTAGGAGACAAACAAATGTGGATAGGGCACTGTATCTACAAATACAACTCAAGAGATCTGTAACTCACACGTAGTATTTCACTCTCAACTATAAATCCTCTGACCACATTCATACTATCTCAATAACAGTCATTTTACCCAGTTGATGGTAAGCAATGATTTTATTTATTTATTTTATTATGAGCGCTCTGTGCCCATTAAACATTTGCAACACAGATGAATAGCTGATCTCTTAAGTAGCCTAACTATATTAGATAATGTTATTTCCCATGAAATGGAGGACTGTAATAAAATTATTCTAGGTTCTAAACTTCCATACTTGTGTATTTTGGATACAGTTTTTAAAGGTAATAGTGGTCTGGCCACGGGCAGGTTTTTACCTACTCATAAACTTGAGCTTCTTATACTTAATTTCACTTTGTACTAAAATCCTTAACTTTCATTTTGAAAGCTAAAGAATATTAGGTCCCACACGTCCCTTGTCTAGTATGACTTTGGCTAGTTAACAGCAAAATTTGTTTGCAAAATTGAAAGCCTCCGACAGCATTTTTAAATACTGATTTTTCCATCAATCCTTAAGTTTCAGTAGTACTTATTTATTTATAATTTTTTTTTTGTACCGGGGATCGAACTCAGGACCTTGCGCTTGCAAGGCAGGAGGTGGAACCACTGAGCTAAATACCCGGCCCTTCAGTAGTATTTATTAAACAATCTTTCTTTTAAACATTTCTTTCAAATGCCCACTATATGAAGCCTCAAATAAATTCACTGACAAATTCATAACCCCAATTTCACTAATATACGGAAATAATTTCTCCACAAGCTAAAGATCAGTGTCATAAATTTAATTTTCTGAATTTTACAACCCTTAATAAATGGAGGCACCTTAAAATTCAGTTTACATTCTTTTATATAGGATTTCAGAGCATGCTTCAAATAGCTTAAGATAAGCTACACTAATAGCTTAGTGCGATTTTTATCATTAAAATAATCTACAAAATCAGAACACTATTAATTTTCCCATTATAACTAATAAATAAGTCTTAAAATATCTGCAGATGTACACCAATTCTCTCAATTCATTTTGCCTCATGCTTGGACTGTTCTAGAATACAGATCAACAAACGATGGATTTATAAGTACAGTATTTTCACAAATTTCAATTCTATAATTTAGCATTTTTCATATTTTCTTTTAAATATACAAAGAGATTAAACCATTAATATAAATACTTCTCTCATATATGTAATATTCTTTTGTAAAAGAAAATGTTTCCAAACATTTACAAAGCAATGTGAAGATAGGTAAACCTGATTTTTAAGATCATTACATTAACCAAAATAATTTTCCACAGAAGGTCCCATTGAAAGTAATGGTTGCTGGCTTCTTCACATCAACACTTTAAGATGGATCCAAATCCAATCAAAGGCCTTTGCTTGATTTATTTCAGGGATTATGGCAAAAAAAAAAAAATCTCAGAAAAAAGTCTCACGACAGAGTGGACAAGTGGATTTGTTGCTAGAGGTAAACCATTTGTACTGAAAAAGAAAATGTTTTAAATGTTAAAAGAATCTCTTAAAGCTGCACCTCACATAATATACTTCTACAGTAAATAATAAAGTGAAACAGGAAGAATACTAACATTTTTGCCTCCCCATGTATCTTCAAAATAAACCTAACTAAATATTACTTCTAAAGCCAGGGATTTAGCTCAGTGGTTCCACCATCTGCCTCATAAGTGCAAGGTCCTGAGTTCAATCCCTGGTATCAAAAAATATATATATATATTACTTCTAAAGATTACACTATGATTCCTTCTCCCTAGGTTTGTGCCCAAGACTACTAAGGTACAAGACCTTCTGAAGCAAGTGAACATAGGGCAATGTCCTTTTCCAAGTTTAAAAACACCAAAGGGCTCTGATGGGAGATGGCCCTACCCCTGAATCTTGTAACCTCTTTATGGTTAGATCTCACAAGATCATCTATTCCTTACGGGCTAACAGTTCTATTAGTAACATCCACTTATTAGAGTACTTTGATGCTGCCAGTCTCAGTAAATTCCTATCTTTTGCATATTTTAAAAAAATCACTTTTTAATGTCTCCCATTAACTACAATTAAGAAATTAAGAGGGTCGGGGATTTAGCTCAGTGGTTCCGCCACCTGCCTCGCAAGCGCAAGGACCCAAGTTTGATTCCTGGTACCAAAAAGAAAATAAATTAAGAGTGCAAAATGCATGCTTTTCTTTTCCAAAGTTAAATATTTTATATATACAAAAAATATAAGGCAGTTAATTTTTCTTTAGACTTACCAAGCAAGCTGAATGAAACTTTTTCTTGCATGTTCTACAGGCTTTTTTGGGGAGAGAATAGTTGAAACCATGAATAACAGAAAAACAGATCATACAGTCTTCAACACCCTCAAAACGTTTGTCTACATTATTTTTCCACAATGCTAAGCCTTCCATAATACTTCCATTCTGTTAACAAAAAGAAAAAGAAAAGAATCACTACCCACTTTCACAAATGTTAAATCTGAATTGTAACTCTAAGAGAATCTGCTTGGCCACATTTCACATCTCCTAAGTTTTATGAATGTTGATTTTTAAAATTAATATTCAAAGTTTTAGGAACTGGTATAATTTTTTTCCATTAACAGCTTCTGAGCTAATACTTCGTCTTGTGGTTTCGGCTTCTTTGATGAAAATCCTTTAATAATTAAATCACTTAGATCACCTCTTCTAATTTTGAACTAAGAATAATGAAATTATCTAACCTTTTCAACTGATTTTTTTCTACCTCCACAATACTGGTGAAGATATTTTTTTTTAAATAATTTTTCTTTACTGTAGAATGCCTAGGATATGTCATAATTTACAAACACCACTGGAGATGTCTTATAATTTGTTTAAAAATCAAAAATCTTTCAGAGTACTGAAATTTTTCTAATCCAAGGAGAGTTGAAATGTCAGAGTAAGAGCTTGGAAAGCACTCATTAGTCCAGTATCTCTCAGGATTTTCTCTCAAACAAGTTCCTTAACATCGTGTATTGGTCTACATTTTCTACAACGTCAATGAAATAAAGTCAACCCCTCTCAAATACAGGAAAATAAATTGTAAAGTCTTAAATTTTAAACAGACATGGTAGGCTCAAGTCAGTTAGGCACAAGGTGTTTATAGAAGAATTTTATTTTATTTTATTTTATTTTATTCTATTTCCAAAACCAGACATAGTCTGTGTTCAACTGTTCTCTGAAATAGATCATCTCTCTCTGGTTTGGAAAGCTAAATATGTAAGCAGACACTGACCTGGTGGGTGAGGTAAGTGCTTAGCTGCAGCATCCAGTTCCGCCACTGCTGGACGGCCACGCCCACTCTCTTCCCACTCTCCACTGATATGGAACCCAATGGGTAATTTGAAGGCAGCTGTATTATAAGTTCAATGACAATGTCCTCAATAGTATAAGTAGCCATTACTTCTCGAGTAGTAGCTCGAGCTTTAACCTATAACACAAGACAGGTAATTTTCTCAGATTCCTTTCTTTCATTCAAAACACATTTTGATAGGTTGACTCTTAGCTAACAGCTTCATAACAGGAAAAAGCAGGCAAACACAAGACATTTATTAAACAGGTTTAAGTATTTGGCATGTTTTATAGTGATTCATGACTTTTAAAACAAACACACTGCTCATAAAAAAAAATACAGTATATTATATTAGGTTTGTCACATAGTTGTGGGTTCCTTTTTTGAGCAGACAAATGACACTAAGAGTACCAAATATCACTTCTATGCCTATTATGTCTTTCTCATCACACAAGAGTCAGAAAATAGAATAGACAAATTTCTATAATTCTGAGTCAAGGGCAACAAATTTGTGATGGCATTCACAGTGATAGATTTAATCAATACTCAAACAACTCTTATAGAAAAAGTCAAGATAATACTAACCGTCATGCCATTAAATAGCTGTGTACTTGTTTGCACAGAAGATATTTCTTGAAAAGAAAGGACACTGCTGACATACTTGCTTGTAAATCTATCCACAATATTGAAAACACGCTTCTCACTGCTATTCCACCACAGCCTAACCATGGCAGGCAAATCTTTTAATGTCATATGATAGACTGAACAAGCCAAGTGTGGAATGTGATATGGAAGAGTTGATGTTTCTGAGGAAAAAACAAATTCTTAGTGAGTGATATATAGTTCTTACATAGAAAAACAGACCACTACTAGTATTTTCCTTAGAAAGTTATCCTTCATTGCTCAGTAATAGTGCTGTAGCTCACACAACATACCAGAGAAATGGAGACTTATTTTAGCATCCTCCCACACATTCAAACTGAACCATGAGATCAGCAAAAGAAGTGAGTGAAAATCCCAAATGACACAAAAATTCTGCCTGGAAATCACATTCTCTATTTCATATGAAAGATCGTGAATAAAATAGAACACACCTATTTTTTAAAAAGAGGAAAAATTAAAGATTGTTATAAATTATGAAAAGGCAGCTGGCCTCATTGACTTTCTCCAGAACTCACTAAGCAACTGTGCAAAAGTCCTAGAATAATCACCTAAGACAGTCCATCCTCAGATCTCTAAAACATTTTAGACTGCAACACTTAGTAGAGCCAGATGCATGTATGTCTGTCTTCTCAGCTAAAATGTGAGCTCCCAGGATGAAGGATATCAGTTTTACTTATCTGTTTCCCTAACTGGAGACTACTTGTTTACATGTCTGAAACATGTTAACACATAACAAATACTTGTTCACAGAGTACAAGATAATCTCAACACAGTAAGCTTTCAAATGTATTAAATTCTTCATAATTTTACCCATGAGATCTAATTACCTGTCCAATTTAAAGAAATTTAAAAAATCTTGCATTTTAATGTCCTCATAGCTGGGACTCACATTTGAGATTATTCTCCAAACATCCAGGGCAAAGTTTAGTACAGCCTAGTCTGAATATAGTTACCAGGAAAAGATACAAACATGTTTCTTACTGACCTCTAATACTCAGCTGGAGCTCCTCAGTAAAGAACGTTTTGGGGTCCTTATTTGAGATCTCAGGAGCTGCCTCTCCATAGCTTGGATTTTCTGGCATGAGCCTGAACAGGTGATAAAGTAATTTGTTCAAACTCTTTGTTTTCCTAAGGTACACTGAATACAGAGCCCGCAGCTGGTGGAGAGCAAAAATTTTGTTAGTAAACTCAAATCAAAAGAATCACAAAAGGGCTGGGGATTTAGCCTCAGTGGCTTCATGCCTGCCTCGCACGCGCAAGGTCCTGAGTTCGATCCCTGATACCAAAAAAAAAAAAAAAAATCAAAAAAGAACCAATCAAACTATGACAGACTCTGTAAGAACACCAATAATAAGTGTATTACTTTGAAGACTTAAAAGAGTCCTACAAAATATGTGACATTCTTAGTTTCCAAATATGCCAAACCATGTGGTACTTACTGCCTCCTTTCCTCATAAATACCTGACATTCTCACTGTCCCCTCCCTCTCGTTGTTGGACCTATGTTTCTAACATCTTTTTCAAACTGTCTCCCTGTTAATACATTCACCTTGAGCTGACACTGTCCGTCTGAGCCAAGAAAATGTATTCACCATTCTCAAAGAAACTAGCTCAGCCCCTCCCTTGCAGGTCCTTAAACTTGCAAGTTCTGGAGTGAAACCAACTCCATTTTCAAAGTAACCTTATCTTACATCGAATACTGTGGCATCCTTTTAGGACACAAAGCAAAAACTAGTAGATGGTCAAAGCAGTCTTGGCATATCCTCACAACTGTTTTATCAATCAGAAAATTTCATATAAAAATATGGACTTCTGGTTTCTCTTTGAAAAGCAGAAAAATCTGGCCCCACCAGGAGCGCCATAACGTCTGGGTGGCCCCGGTGTTTTCCAGCCCCTTCCTCCCCCTCCGTAACAGTCTGCAATTCTTTGGCACTGGCAGCTGCCTGACATGACTTCTTCCACCACACTACGCACCTCCTACACAAAGACATCATTTCCTGAACACTGATGACTCCAACACAAGGATCAAGCTATCGGGTTTCAAACTAATTCTTAAACCATACTGATGAAAATATCTTTATAACAGAGAAATCTGGAGTCACTCACTACCTTTCTGAGTAACCAAGCTTGACACTACCAATACAAGGACACACTGACATTATTTGCTGCCTGAAGTGACAATGAGGATAAATCACAACTTGCTGAACATCAACCAAAATATAATCAGGAGGAAACAATAGGACAAATCCAAATTGTATCACAGGCTACAAAACAGCTGGACAAAACAATGACAAGAAATGAAACATAGGGGAATTATGGAAAGGTTATAATTCCTAATGAAATACGATAGACAAATACAAACATGACCCTTGATTCAATTCTCAATAGAGAAGGAACTAAAACTATAAAGGCTATTACCGCAACAGCTACAGAAATCTAAATATAAATTAGATATTAGGGCATCAAAATTAGGCTTCTTGATATTATGCTTATGTAGAAACATATCCTTGCTATGATACATAAATACTTTAAGTAAAGCATCCTCATGTTTACAAATGACTTTCAAGAGGGTGAGCAAGAAAAAAGTGAATTTAGAGAAAACACAAGTAAATGTGCTAAATGTTAAAAATGTATGAATCTAGAAAAGTATATGGCATTTTATTGAATTATTCTTCCAACTTCTCTATAATTATGCTTTTTTTCCCAAATGAAAAGTTGAAAGAAAAACAATTTTTAAAAATTAACCAGCCATGTCAATGGCTTTTAAAAAAACACATTTAGCTCAGTGGTTCCGCTGTCTGCCTCACAAGCACAAGGTCCCGAGTTCAATCTTCAGTACCAAAAATTTAAAAAAACACATGAACATAACCCAGAAATCCCATGTTAGGTATAGAAAATATATCCACAGAAAAACCTGTACATGCATATTCATAGAAGTTTTATTCATGATAGCCAAAAAAAGGAGAAACAAGCTAAAGGTCTATTAACAAATGAACAAAATGTAGTATATCCAAACGATGAACTATTTTTCAGGCATAAAAAGAAAGGTAGTACTGATACATCCCACATTGATGAGTCTTGAAAATACTGTGCTAAGTGAAGTCAGATAGAAATGACCATGTATAGGAAATGGCCAGAAGAGACAAAATCCATAGATAGTTTACAGGTTGCTAAGCAACTGTACAATTTAAAGAGGAAATGAGAAGTGATTACAAACAGGTACAAGTTTGCTTTTAGGATGCTGAGATGCTGAAAATGTTCTAAAATTAGACCATGGAAATAGTTCCACAACTCTATAAATATACTAAAAACATGAAACTATAAATGACTAAACTTTATGGTACATGAAATACATTTCAGTAAAGCTATGCGGGGGAGGGAGGGAGGGGGCGCTTTTTCCTATTTAATTCTATTTGCTAGGGGTTTTTCTGAGAAGAAAGTTAATGATTTAGGACCTAAATTTTGGGGTTTTTTTAAGATTCTCATTTCAGGATTCAACTAATTAGTATTTTTAGTGCTTTTCTGGTCCATGTATTCACAGTTCATTTCAGATTCAGGTGCAATAATAAATAGTATCTCATTCTTTGCATTCCTTTTTCAATCTTGACAATGAAAGAGATGACACATGACCATTTTCCTAATTTCTAAATGTAAGATGATAAAAATAAATTTCTTATCAGAAGCCTCAATCTGCTATCCTTTTTTTACATATCAACAATATTTTAAGAAACAAATGTAAAAGCCCAACACGGAACTTTTGAAACACATCAACAGCAAATAAAATTAAGTCACACATGTAAATGACAAGACTACAGAACGAATCTCCCTAGCAACTAGATCAGTGTTGCCTTTGTCATTTGATCTTCCCATTATATCTACAAATGGAAACATGTACAAGACTAAGGTATGGGTTTGAGCAACAACATAAAATATAATTGACGAATTCTGAAATATTACATTAGAAAAGGCCACAAATACTTAATCACACTTTAGATAAGAAATGATAAAATTTTTTTATATTGACCTGTCAGAAAGCATATTTACTACTAGGCTGATTCAGTCAAAGTTTGAGTTTTTTTAGAAGGGGGACCTTTCTAAAAGAAATAAAAACTAGAGAAGGTCTTTCCAGTTTCTTCCTGGACAATTAAAGTCTTTTTTCCTAATATGAGACAACAGAGACATCTAGTGGCTGCTAGAATAATTGGGGCAAAATAATTACAACTAACTACCTTTTAGAAAAAATACTCTCAATCACTCAGATAATGTTTCATAGAGCTTCCTTTGAAACAGATTTTTTTTTCCTTCGGAACTCAATGCCTTCACACTGAGGTACATTTCCAGCTCTTTTATTGTTTCCTGCAATAAAAGAACTTAGTGACTACATTAAGTTGGACAAAATTGAGCCATCCACATTTCAGATTACTCCTGGAAAAAAGAAAAGTACATTTGGAGGAGTGAGAGAGTAGTAACAGAAGTAAGCTTAATAGTAAAATGTCTGAGGTAAATGGGTGACACCAGGCAAATCCTCTTATTCGGAAGAAGGGGAAGGAAGGTAAAGTACAGAAACAGAGGCCATTAGGACAGAACTGTCAAAGGCTGCCACCTAGGTTTGGTCCCCAGTACTGCAAAAAAAGAAAAGAAAAAGGGTGTTACATATTTACCTGAGATGAAGCAGCTTTGAAGAAAGTAAGTATCAATTTCCAAGTAAGGAGATAGCCCAGAACATAACAGAAGTCTTCACTCAGTGGCTTAATGGTAACTATCTGTCCCACAGGAATACACCCCAGAATGTTTTCCAGTAAGTCCTCTTGAGTGCTCAGAAGGGACATCAGAACGGCTGGCGGTGACCTAAAAAGAAATAATGAAACAGCACCATTTTCTTCATAACTGGTCCCTGAACAAGCTGATAGTATCCATAAACTTCCAAACATTGTAGAAATATCTTTTGTATTTTCTAAAAATCTTTAAAAATGTTCCCCTCTATAGTCTAATTTTAACTCATTTAACTATGATATCCCACAAAAATATGGACCATAGCTGTCAGCACTTAAAGAGACTTTTAGAAAACACCATTTCAACTTCTTTTTTATAGATTTAAAAGCAAAAAAACCCAAAAATCACATAACCCAGGAAGCCAAATGATTGGTACAGAACTAGTGAAGGGAAGTAGAGTATCCATGTTTTACCGAGTCCTTTACCATATTATAAAGGGCAAAGCGAGGATTAAGATTTTACACCCTGTCACTTCATCTTTCTGTTTTACTGCATACTATCACCTAGCAGCATAGGCAATGCAATCATCACAATTTATATGAAGGATGAACACAAGAAACAATCGTGAGGTTTTTTAAAAATCGTAAATCTTTATCTCAGGAAATTTAACATTCACATTAGTTCACCACAACATAAGTTAATTTTCTTCTTGAACTACTGAACTCATTAACACTCTTGGGTGAGCTTATGAGATTTTCAAAAAGTGACATATTTTTATCCTTTTAAGCTCTCTTCTCTATAATACTTTAACTTGGTTCTCTCTTTTAACCTCTGAGGTCTGCCTTTCCTTTTGGCTTCCTTTTCCCCACTCACCAACACAGGCCTTCTCCAAGCTTCTGCCCTGATATCTTCGGCATCTCAATGTCACCTACCAACCCTTCTCTAATCCATACCAGCAGTCACTATATCTTACAGACACCAGCTCTGAAAGCTCTCCACTTCCCACACTGCCTGCAATGCACTGTTATTAAATCTGGAATGGTGTCCACCTGTTCCTCTCTCTCTTTCTTGTGGTACTGGGGATTGAACCCAGGGCCTTCACACTGAGCTATACTGCCAAGCCATTTTGTACCTTTTTTATTTTGAGACAAGTTCTTGCTAAGTTCCCAGGGCAGGGCTTGAACTTGCAATGCTCTTGGCCTTGGCCTCCCAGAGTGTTGAGATTACAGGCGTGTGCCACCACACTTGTTGCTGCTGCTTCTCTATAATTCACCCTTCATCATTGCCAGTTAGCTCGTAGTGCCCATCTGGTACCAAATTTCCAAAATCCTTTTAAAAAATGCCATTTTAAGGCCATCTGTTAACTACTCTTCCAGCTTCATTTTCCATTATACCCCACCTCCTAGATACACAGTACCTCACCTTTTATTTTATTCAACAAATAAGCAGTACTTATGTATGAGTTTGCTATAGGTGAAGAATGATTATGGATGATGTGGATATGATTAGGAATTAAATGACAAAAAAATTCCCACCTGACCAAATTCCTGCCTTCACAGAGTTTACATCCCAGTGAAGGAAGATACTGGCAGTTTAAAAAACAAAGTGGCAAACACTCCACATTCTCTATACACCTCCTGAACATTCATGCCCCAGTACCTTTGAACATGGTATTTTCCTAACTTACACAGTACTGTCCTCTCTATCCTGCAAAAACGTTACCTAACCTTAAAAAGTAGTTTAACATATCTCTTCCTCAAGAGCAAGTCTTTTCTTGGTGTACATTAATTGTGTCTCCATAACATGCTAGCCATCCATTTTCTCAGCACTCTTCATGTACTGTATCTTCTATTATGGCTAAGACATTAGATTATAAAATCCTTAAGAAAAAGAATGTATTCATTAAACACTGTATTCTCCCCTCAGCATTTAATAAATACTATGGACAAAGTGAGCACTCAACAGATATTTCAACTGATACACTGCTTCCACAACTGCTATGTGGCCAGTTGAAAGTAGCACACTGGAAACATGACTTAGAAACAATTAAAAGACACAATCTTTTGAGTAAACTGTAGATTTCATTTGTATCTTACACAGAACTTTAAAAAGGTCTATCTGTGGAATATGTATTCTAAACTTAAAGCTGCTGTGTTGTTTCAATCTTCCGAATACACATAGGTAGATTATGAGAATTTAATACACCAAATTATAAAAAGGGAAAAAAAACTTACAAGCCTGGTTCTTCTTCTTCATCTCCATATGACTTTAGATTATCCTGATCATATTGTGGTAATTCAGGCATCAATCTGGAATTAGAAGATTATATTTAAATAATTTATATTAAATTATCCATTGTTAAATCATGTTTAAGAGCAGAAAGACTAATCCTTATTTGTAATGAATACAACTTCTTTTTTTGGGTTTGTTTTTTTCTGAGACAGGGTCATGCTATGTAGTTCAGGCTTGCTTTGAACTCAGTATGGACCCCAGGCTGGCCTCGAACTCACAGTAATGCTGCTGCCTCAGCTTCCCAAGTGCTGGGATTACAGGCATGCACACCATGCCTGGCAATAAGTAAAACATTTAGTGATTTTTTTTTTTCCTGAAATAATTACCTAAATGGCTGGACTACCTAAATATGAACTGTGTAAAGAAAAAAATGACCTAGAACATCAAACAACTTGGCACTCCTGTACTGAAATAGTCAGATCTCCCCTTTATTTTTAAATTGACTTTTAAATGAAGGTAGAAAGTATGTATATATACATATATATGCACACACACACTTATATGAACACTATAGCACTCATTCAACTAGAGGAGTTCTTACTTGTACAGCATATGATAAACAGCAATTTGCACAGGCCTAGCTCTGAAGAGGAGTAACGGGACCAATGTGTTTAACAAAGTCTGGAGATTTTCTGGCAAGTTTGATTTTGGGCCAGTCCCCAATTTTGCAAGAAGTTTGTGACTCAATAGCTGATCCTTTGAGATATATGTTAATGTTTCACACATGGGCTTCAGCATTGCATTTTCAAAGGTGGTTTCAGACAGATCTTTATTTTCTCCTGATAACACAAAAGAAAAACACATATACATCCCAAAAGAAAGTTAGTAATACGAGTACAGGTTGACTGATTCATATTCAAATGCCACTTAAGAAAAATGAAATGAAAACCAGATCATATACATTACAGCAGTCCTAACTAGATATATATGAACTGAATATATATTTTGGTTTAGCTCAACTGTTTCAGAGACTTAGTCCATCTTTTAAAAAAGCAAATCAATAGAGGCTCCAGTCACAATTTATTCAGGTTATATGAATTACTATTATTTTAATTTGCAATGATTTTTTAGATACCTTGCCATTTTTAATTCATGTCAGTACTATAAAGCTTCTTTCCAAGAAGCCAAGCTTTCTCTTCTAGCTCTTTTATTATATAGCACCAGTTGCATTTTCTTTTTAAATATTCAACAAGTCATTTTCAATGAATCTCACTATTGTGTCCTTTTTCACTTGCCTGTAACAGTCACCAAAAGAGGTAAAAGCAAACTATGGATGCCTTGGGAAAAAAATTCTTTCCATTCACTGATGAGATTTACAGGAAGATTGGCAATGGATTCCGGAGTGGCTGAATCAAAAAAAGCACTGAGATCACAGGCCAAATCACAATTGACACAGGCAAACCGCTGTACAAGTGGAACAGAATACAGTGCCTGATTCTCATTTGTTGTCTAAAGAAACAACAGAAATGGAATAGGTAAACCAGAACACTATAAATAAAGAGAACTACAATAAAGAAGACCTTCATTCATTTTTCTGAATTTAAAAATAAAAAGCAGTTGAAGTCTCAGGAGAAATTTATCTATCTTATATCAAAATAACTTTCTTTCAAAATTAAATATTAGGAATTACAATCATTAATGAACAATTTATTCGAAAATGGCTTTTCTTTTTTTTTT